GCAAAGCCTCGCAGGCCAGCGCGGCCAAAGCCGCGGGGCGCCAGGGACCGCAGCGACGCGGCTAGGGACATGGTTGGCTAATTATTGATCAGCCTACAAAATCCTACAAACCTACAGAACTGCGACAGCCTCCTCGACATGGACAGCCCAATGCGTTGCAGGGTCCGACATGTGACCTTGTGGCAGGCTGCGACAGCCTCGGGCTCCAGCTGGGAAGCCGTCGCAGAGCATCTGCACCGCTGGACAACAGCACACGGACCTTGGTGCGAGGGCTTCCTGCTTACTGAGCTTCCGGGAAGCTAAAGCGAGTCCCGAACGACGGCCTCTCGCCCAACCCGGGCTGCCACCATCAGAGGCGTAACACCCCCCTCCATGGCCTCAGGTCGCATGAGCGAGCCGTGGACAGAGCTGAATATGCGACCATCTGGGACTGCTTCGGCATCCACAGTGGCTCCGTGGTTCAGCAATACCTCTCACGAACAAACGACACTTGACTGGCAAATCCGTCGGCATCATTGGACGGCAGCACGTAAGGAAGCCCGGCTGTCTTACTCAATGACATGTTCCAGTGGCTGGAGGCCACTCCACAAAGCACATTCCAAGCACCTCTGCCACAGCCGCCGCTGCAGACGGATCTGTCGGAGTTCCAGGAGGTCCTTGCTGCGGATCGAACTTCGAATATTGAAGCATATCTTCTCTGGCACCTTGAACATGCAATGAAGCACTACATCGGCTGGCATCACTTTGTGACCTTGTTAAAGCCGGACATCCCGGATGCGATTTCGTTATCACCACGTCTGCTGTGTTGGTGCAGCTCGATGCGACACCTTTTGCCCGTCTTAGTGCCAGCTGGTAGCGTGCATGACCGTAGCTAGGACTGAGCTGAAGCTCTTATCAGATGCGAAAAGATGGGGGCACTGATCGACACAAGTGCGCCCATGGGCCTTCCGACTGACTAGCACCACCGGCCAAGTGTAGCGCGGTGATCCCATGCTCTGCAACTGCCTCAAGGCATCACCGATCGCGAAGTGCGACTTGCTCTCTGGACTTGTCTGGAGAAGGCCATGCGATTCAGTGCACAGCCTGTCTACAAGCAGCTGAACCAGTCTCAAGGATTTGCACACAAAATGTCGGAGCTGGGGCCGGCTGACATCCACAGGGACCACCTTGCTTCGCAGGAGCAACATCACGATCCCAACAGATCCAGCCTGAGATTGCGGATGGATGCGGATGGTGGACGGTGCCGTTCTGGCGAAGCAGACATCGGTCATAGCGCCCGCACCTCCGCGGCGACGTGCAGCGGCGACAGAGGGACCTTCAAGCGAAGACAAAGAGCCCGTCACCAACACTAGACGAGCAGCACGGGTTGCCTGCACGTCTGCTAGAGCTGCAGGAGGCCTCACGACGAGAACCAGAGTGCTTGTCTCTTTAGCAGCTGAAGCATCAGTCGCGCGACAGTCTCAGAGTCTTCTTATTCGTTCGGGCACGTCATGAGCACAATATCTTGCAACTCAATTGGTCAACCCGGACTGCACTCAGAGGCTAAGGCGGCTCTGCTGCAAGCAGAGTCTGCACGTTGGACTCGTCCCGGCTTTGCACGGCGAGGTGTAGCGGTGCCCAACCCTGGCAGAATGCTCTCTGTGTCTGTGCGAGTTCAGTGGCCGGATCCACGGGTCAAGGGGAAAACATGGGAAAACTACGTACGACCTCGCCTTGTCGTTGATTCCCTGCCTTCCGCTTCTGCTTGCTTGCTGCAGCCACTTGGCCACGAAAAAGCAGCCAGATTAATGTGGGCTTCTTGGACTGAACAGGGTCGGAAGACAGGCCTCCTCTGTCAGCGCATTGGCATCTGCACGGGCACGCAGAAGTTGTTGAATCGTCTGGGAACAGGGGTGGAACATGGTGAACGGAAAATCTTGGCTTCTGCATGTGCGCCTTACACGAAGGAGAGCTACTAAGCTACTAAGTGACTGCTTCTCGGCAAGTGCAGCACGTACTTGTGGGACAGCCTAAGGGGCCTTCACGTTGACCATAGCGGATGCCATTGCGGTTTACGGGCTGTGGCAGTTATGGGCAGGTGCTATGGCAGGCTCAATAACTTGGCATCTATCTGACTGTACAGAATTTGGGGGATCGAACATAGCATACATTCTGATGTGGTCAAGGGCTCGTCCGTCCTCTCCCAGGAACTAGGCCCAGCATGGGTGCCAGTGGAACGATTCATCATGCCAGACAAAACAATCTCAGAGGGCCTCCGGGAACCTGAGATCTTGTTCTTACCAGGCCACGACGACTGAATGAAACATGTCGAGATGAAGGGGACGAGGCAGCCACCGTCCGATTGCCAGGCACATGGCAGGCCAGGTGCAAAACAGTCCACCCGCCGGGCCTCAGGCAGCTACAGTACCGGAATGCCCCAATTTCCAATGCACGGGCAACAGAATTCGGACTTGCAAGCACGACTGGAACCAGTCGTAGAAACGTCGTAGAGCACTGTTCACTGAACGCACCTGAACGCTGCCTGCTACCACGGAGGCTTGAGATGCCGAACCTGTCCGCTGGTCTAGAATCTAGAACAGAGCCTCGCCCGTTCTGTGACACTTTCGACCTAGTACTCGAGCGCAGTGTCTCGTGTAGCATGAGGAACGCCATGATGGCAGCTCCGCATGAGCAACCCAAGGGCCCACACAGCGTCGGCGACAGCGCTGCCCCGAACTGAAGCAGGACCTCGGCCACTTCCACCTGGCAGGCCTCCACTGCCACCTGCGCAGCAGGCAAAGCTTTGGAATGGCGGCTTCGAGAAAACGTAGCCCCGCGGACGTGCGTGCAAACGACATCCCTGGCGGAAACTTCTGCCCTTGTCGCCCGAAACCTGACAGAAAGTACTTAAGCGGACCATCAGTGGAGTGCGGCCGCGACGGCTCGGGAGATTCACCGAGGCTCCAGAGTCCAAGAGTTGCCTTCCGAGCACAAGGGGAAGCTTCTTCCATCCTCGTCTGCTCTTCTCTCCGGCTTGTTGTTCTGCTCTGTTTGAATCCCAGACGGCCAGTCGCGCCATCCCCGAAAGATCCCAAAAGCATACTCCATACAGCTAGCTAGCGAATCTCATCAAGAACTGCCGGGAGAAGAGGGTGCCTCACCGCTGCCACATGCCCGGCCTGGCTTCAACTCATTCGCTTATGACTCATGACGACAGACACTTCCTGAGGACCAAGACGGCTTCGGGGTTCGCGATTTCGCTGGGCTACTTGAGCGAGAATCTAGAAGTTGGCCGTGTGTGGTCTGACCTTCGCCGCCAGCAGAAGTGGTGTCCAGCCCGTGCCGGTTGGGGCATCCACAGCCTTCAGTTCACCTGCCGAAAGGTCTGTCGCACCGCTCCTGCAACTACTGCGCTTCCCTCAATCTGTCCAGGGGGGGGGGGCAAAAACAAGAGTGCGCCACACGGTTGCGCCTTGTGCCCTGGAAAGCTCCAGAAGCAATCGACAGCCTTCCCGCGCAGCGCGACGTCTCTCTCCCTCTCTCTCTGCGACGTCTGTCGGCGGCATGGACTTCCCCCCGCTCTTCAAACTCCGGGCCCGCTGCACTCAGCATGCCCAGAGCGCGCTGCCAGAGCCAAAGGCGTAAAACCTCCACCTTGGCGTGAGATGCAGTCGTGCAGGAGAAGTTGGGCATCCCCTTTCCTCATACACGAGGATTGCTTGCACAGCCGATCCCGGCCAAGGCCCCCGCGCATCTCTGCGCTCGGGTTGGCGCGGGCCGACACCAGAAGCTGGATGCAGTCGTAGAAGCCCTGCAAAGGGAAAGATTCGAAGCCACGACGACCTTCCACCAAGACATTGAGGCGCATCGCAGCGATTCGCAGCGCCTGTTGGGCTGCCAGATGCAGGCAACGGCAGCCGCCACCACTGCCGTCACTGGCGACTGCTTGCTCCTGACGAGGCGATGCGACTGAAAGTTTGCCCACGGTCGCCTCTGACTCTATACGTGCTGGGTGCTCCGGGTCGGCTCGGGCGTCCAGCAGGAGCCTGGCGACTTCCAGGTGTTGGAGTTGAACCTCAGGAAGTCGGGGGCTGACGTTTTGGAAGTGTTTGGAACCTATGTGCTGTGCAGGCCACTGCAGCATGGAGGGCCACCGCCCCAGCACTCGTAGAAGCGCCTGCAATGAGAGTGAGGGGCGTGGATGTAGCGGCTCTACGTTTTGAGCATGTTTTAGCTGTGGACCGGCAGTTAGTCCGAAGACTGTCCAAAGTCCAAAGCTCAGCCACTTTCTCAGTCAAAAGCGTTGACATGTTGAAATCGATGCATTCCTGATTCCAGCGCACGGCTACCTCCATGGCACAATGGCAGCCGAAACAAAGTTGCGCTTTGAATTCTGCCTGGTGTCTACTATACCTGCAGCATGGCGAGAAGACGCACTTGGTCTGTGCCTAAGGATGCCCCGCGGTCCAGCAGAAGCTGCACCACCTGCGCAGCATCCGATCGAACTCCGACCACTCCAGGCACCAGCCATGTACAGCGATGCCGTGTTGCCCCGAAATGACACTGGACCCGAGAGTATGCATGACTGCATCACAGCAATGCCGGGCATTGGTTCGGGACTCTTGCCAAGGAGCCCTGCGGCCCTACGGTAGACGCTACTTTCCAGCAGCATGTTCAGGCCGCCTCTGCTCGACCCTGTTGCGCAGCGAGGTGCAAAGCCGTAGCCTCAGGGACCATGCAGAGGGTTGGTCTCAAAAGCGTTGCGGAGTTGGTGGTCTGGGCTGCTGAAGTTGATTTGGGCTTGCGTCCTCGACGGAAAACAAATGGCGGGTCAAGGCGGGCTACGAGGCTCCATGCTGCAGAACCGAATCCACCAGCAAGCCAAGGATGCAGGCCAACATGTCATGACTGTCGGGAAGTCAGAAGGAGCTCACGAAGCACTCTCGGTTGCCCGGGACTCCGAGCGCCCTGGTCATTGCGCGCCTCTAACTCGGCACCACGTGACAGCCTCGTCCGAAGCGCAAGCATTATCGCCAGAACCGGTCCCACAATGGCATCTCATGTGCCCTTAGACACTTGTGAAGCGGGTCAATGTCGCAGCCTGCCCTGCGTTGCCGACGGTAGTGCTTGACAGACTCAGCCCATCACAGAAGTCGGGCTGTCCGTGCATGGCCGCGCCGAGCAGTTTCGTGCAACGGGGACTTGGTGGAATGAGGCGTGGCATAAGAAGGGTTGCTTCGAGAAACTCATCTTTGATTTCACGTGTCTGGATGAGCTAGACTGGCCGGATGCATCACGTCAACATGCTGCAGCTGGGCTCCGCGCAGATGACGTCATGCTCGGGGAAGCTCTTGCATCCAGCAGCAGTGCAACCACGTCGTCCCTGCCGTGCCTTATTGATGCTTTCTACGCAGAACAACCCGTGATTCTAAAGATTCCGCCTGAGTGCAAAGCTGCTCCCAGCCTAAATTCCCTGCGCTCTTCGTCGGACCAGGCCGAGGGAAGATTGTAAGCAAAAAAGCTGCTCTTCAGGCCCACAATGCTACCGGCGTTCGGCCTGGGCCTCAGGCAGAGCATGAACAAGGATGCGCTGCTTTGAGCGCAAAAAACCACCCCACGGCAAGCGGCCTAGGGAAGCCCATGCGTATCCCACGGCTATCCACACAGGCCCATTCAGAAAGAGGACAACCTCTGAGGTTCAGGGCACGTCAATTTTCAAGACTAAGCGATGCAAAACCTTTCCATTCCGGTACCGCTTCTCCGGAGACCTGTGGACAAGGCCTCGGGGACTGGAGGGGAACTTCCTTCCCTTCATAAACAGCACGTCCCCCACTCTCACAGACCGGCATCTCGATGCATCCTTGATGATGCACTCGTTGATGCCACCATGCTCCAGCTGCCAGAAATCGACGTTGTCATCATGTGTGTAGAGCGTGGCGGCCGAGTTGTACGAGACGATAGCTCTCGCGGCGTAGTTGTCACAGTGCCATCTGGTGCAACTATTCTCTCCGATGCGCTCAAGCTTAAAGTCCAGCTTCCGACTCCAAGGGCAGAGGCGGCCAACGACCGCGCCGACCTCGCAGATGTCAGCTTGGACAGCCGAAGAAACGTCCTTTGCCAGTGCCACTTGGCTGAGCAGCTCCTCCGCCACCACGTTGAAGTCGCCGAAGCCCTGGCCGCGGAAGCTAGAGACAGTAAGTCTCTGCCACTCATCCCGATCCACGTCGGCTTGGCAATCGGACCAGGAAGGCCGCCTTGCGAGGAGAAGGCCCTGATACTCAAGGCTTGCTGGAGTAAGCCAGTCTGTCAGAGAGGCAGATAAGATTGCAGGTTGTGCAGGTTGTGTTGGGGTTGGGGCCGGTGCCGCCGGCGCAGACACAGCAAAGGTGCTGCTTTGCAGCACGAGGAAGGCCACACCGAGCACCACGAGAGTCCTGTGAGCGACATGGCGCTGACGCGACAAAGCGGGCTGCATCCCCGAGAGCTCGCCGAGGATTGGGTGGATGATGGCCAGTTTGCTGCTGAGGTTGCCGATGCTGTGGCGATGACGATGACTATAGCGAGGGTCGCCAGGGTGAGGGAGGGGCGGTTGGTCTTCTGTTTCTATCGATGGTTGTGGTCTGTACAGTCATGCAGGCGTAGGATGGTACAGGGCCACCCTTGATGCAAAAACGCACAGCTTGAACCTGTCAAAGCTTCTGCAGGATGTGACTCCGACAGCCTCAGGTTTCATCTAATTTCATCCCAGCAATCGCCCCCGTCGTAATGTGGCAGGGCATGCCAGAGCCCGCGTTAATATTCGAGTGCGGATCGTAGGGTGCTTAATCAGATGGAACAAGACGGCCAATGTGGAGACGGTCGTAATGGTGATGCGCTGAATGCTTGAAGTGGTGAGTAAACTTGAACCAGTGCAGGGAGGATCCCCAAAGAGGAAATACAAACCAGACGCTGACATCTACACAGGACAGCCTATGCGTGGCTCGATGATGCCACTGGGGTCCCTGCTGCGCGGCCGCCAGAAGTGGTGGCCAGGCGGGCGAGCCCTGTGCAGCCTGCACCCTCTGACCACCAGTCGGGTCGGCACGGGCCGCAAGGAGCTCCTGCCCGCAGCCCTCAACAAAGCAGCACCGGGTCGAGTCTGCTTCCCCGCTCCTGCACACAGTCTAAATGGCCCGCACGTGCTGCTAGCGCAAGCGGGCTGCTCGCACTCTTCGTCGTCAAAGCCTCTGCACAATACTTTGTGGCTCCCTTCCCATCCAAACCTCCACCTGAAACCTCGACGACGGGGCAGCAAGTAGATTGCGCATGTCGTGTACATCGCACTCCCACCTCTGCGTTGGCCCGGCTTTGCAGTAGGAGCCTTACCTCAGCATTCTCACACTCTGTTCAAGTGAGGCAGGGTCACAAGAGAGCAGCCCAGGCTGTGCAGACTCTGGCTACCATCGCTCAATTGTCGGTGTCGCCAAGGCATGTCTTCAGATCTCAGGACCCCACCATCTCAGTTCTGCCTGTCTCCGCAGCCTGTCATCGGGGATTCTGCAAAGCACGTGCGCATCCGGTCAACGCCTTCACATTTTTATACATGCCAATGCACGTGCACGGCTCAAATCTGGTCCACACGAACAGTGCAAGGAGAATCATACAGAGGAGAAGGTAGGTTCATGTAGACGCAGTGGCGGGTTCTTACAGAAAGCTGTCCAGGCTTCCGGCGGCATGCAGGGGAGCGCGCCCACTGGCTGCCACCCTGCCAGGGACATGACTGGTCGCATGCGCCATCGCGCCCTCAGATGCCTTCAGTATAGATTTCCACATGCCTCAGTCGACACCCAATGGACCGACAGAGCCACTACAAAAAAATGACTGCTTACACGACTTTAGAGCATGCGGCACACAGGCCATGTTACCTGCATGGGTTCTACATCCCCTACGCTGCCCGTGTATGTGTCCCTTTTGTAACAGGCTTCGTACTTTGCCTGGAGTCGGTCGCCTCTGAAGCCCAGCAGCTTTACTGCGTGTCTGTGTACCTAAACCCTAAACCCAAAAACTCGAAAATCTTAATCGCTAAACCCGGAACCCGCTATGTCCAAGAACTGTTATCACTGCACCAACCCGAATCCGGAAACCCTCATCCAAATCTAGATACCCTAGCCCCTTAGGATTGCAAACTCGTGACACTTGCGCCAGGCTCGGCGTGCGTGCCGCAGATATCGCATGTTTACTCCCGCTTTGAGACCACCCCATAGCCGAACAGCTCGGCAAACCAGAGATTTCATGGCCGCCGCACTTGCACGAGCCTAGGAATCTCTGTCTCGGGAAAAAGTCCTTGAGCCGTGGCCATTTGCTTGGGGTGCTGAATTTCGGCCCATGTCCTTGACAGACTGGCATCCTCCTCTACACCCGCCGCAAGTTTGCTTCCAGCAATTGGCCTTCGGGACTTCAATTTTCCCCAAGGTCAACAGCCAAGAAAAACTTGAGCAGTGGCCCCCACCACAAGCATGGAACGTGGGTAGCCGCGACAGAGAGGTTAGGCGCAGGCCTGTTGGTGTCTGCGCGGGCGGCCAGCAGGGCTGTCAGCACATCGCAGTGGCCAGGACGGCAGGCCTTGGCCAGGAGTTTTTGTTGCATCCTGCATGGCTGAACTTGTCGCGAAGCAGGCCAGGAAGAGTTTAAGCGAAACGTTGTGAACCTGAGTGGATCAGCTGCATGGACGACTAAGCCTCCCACGAGCAACAAGGCAGTTGCACCATCCTCCTTCAAGAGCCAACTCTGCAGCGTTATGCACTGCTTACTATTCACTGCTTACCTCCACTATCGTTTCGGCTCGTTTCGGCTCGGGCCTGGGCTGCGTTCACGGAAGCGCGAGACTCCAGAAGGAGCCGAACAGCTGCCTGGAGAGGAAACCAGACTGGAACCCAGCGCGCGACGCTCCGCTCCCTCTGGCGCCTCGCGACCGGTGGCAGAGGCAGCTCGAAGCCCCGCTTCCAGGGAGGCCTCAACAAGCACAAAGAGCCCAACAAAAACAAAAACGGACACCTATCCCCTTCCCCAAGCCGCGACTCACGCCGCGCTCCGGCCTGCTCCGGCACGGCGCGTGCTCCGGTCGGGAGCAGCAGCGGCAGCAGCAGCAAGGACAAAGTGTTCAGCTCCCCGAGCGGCCTCCGTCATCAGCACTCTTCAGCAGCACAGCCAGAGCCTCAGAGGCCTCAGAGGCCCCTGGGGCCCCTTGTTCCGCTTCTGAGCGCTTCGCGTGCCACGGAGGGCCGCGGCTGCCGCTGCAGGATGGCCATGCAGAATCGCCAGGTCCTTGCGACGTTCTCAACCCAGCTTGTTTGAGCTCGATCGGCGGCCGTCTGCAGACCAGCTTATACACATCCTCAACCACACGGCACCCACATCTACAGGCACAAGTGGGAGAGTCGAACTGCCGATGCTCTTCGAGCTTTAAACTCCAAGCCTCAAGCTCCAAACTACTTTGTTGATCCATGCAGAAAAAATTGAAGGCTGGCGGAAAGTACCAGCCGAAACTGAACCAACAACCCCCGACACCATTCCGGACACGGAAGAGCTTGGGCCCACCGCTGCTGGCAACAAGCCCTGACCGTCACGAGACATCTGTCCTGGCGAGGAAGACATGCACTTAGTTGGCACTTCATCCAGCTTAGCAGTTGTGTATCGTACCAAAGGTATTTGCAACTGCCACCAGGATCAGCAGGATCCCACATCGACAAAAGACAGCCGGCTTTCAGGTTGCGGGCTGGAGATTACCAGCTCAGGATATGGGACTCTTGTTGCGGCTCCATCCAGCTCGTTGCTCTCAACATCACAGCATTGTTCTAGACATACATGTCCTGCCCCGCTTGTAAGGGCGAGGATGGCTGCGGTAGCCGTAGCATCTCCACTGCGGCAGGCCTGAAACACAAGCTGGCCGTGAAGCTCCGATACTCCCTATCTGAATCTATCTAAAGCCTGGAGCTCTTCCTGTCTCTACACGTATACACACATGTGTGTATGTGTATATATATATATATACATATAAATACATATCGAATCCATCTATTTGTTTGTCTATTTGTTTATATCTGCGTGTGTGAGTTCATGTGTGTGCATTACGTAGGTATATACGTATCCAATGCGATATGTTGATCCCGTTTTTTCGGTTCTGGTATCGTGACGTACCAAGAGTACACAACGGCAAAGCTTAGTCGACGACGGGGCTTTGGATCAGTCTCTGAAACTCATGAAGACTAATGAAAGCTGAAAGATCCAATGTCAAACGAAGACCTATTTTTGTGGCCCCGTCACAGATCCCCGCATAGCTCATTACATGCTTCCCGACTCTGATGTAGCCCACATAGTCTGGACGAAAAGGGCAAACCACAGTACGCCGGGTTTTCATGCTGGAGAATTCAAGTAATCTTGTTGGCCCATGGTGCAATCCCCTCCTGAAGAAAGAACCCCAAAATGCCGAAACTACTTGATGGGAAATGCTACAAACGTACGTCGCCTTTACCGGCCTTGTGCAGCATGGTGCTCTCGTCCGTGTCTTCACTGGCTGCCGAATGCTCGAAGCGTGCCGCAGTTTCCTGGAGCTTCTGCCTCGCGAGAGCTCCGCGCAGGAGGTAACCGCAGCCGAAGTCCAAGGGTCGGCCCGGTCGGCCCGGGGGTCGCTAGAGCTACTGGTAGAGTCAGAGCCCTTCACAGCCCTTCCTTGAAGCCTCTGCCTCTGCAGTGCCCAGTGCCCAGTGCCCTGCAGTTCGGCGCCTCTGATCCACAGGATTCAGCTCCAGCCTGAGGTTTTTTAGGGCTTTAGAGGCTAAGGCTAAGGGTTGCACCTGGGGCTTCCTTGACCCGCGAAACCGCTGAAGGAGATGCAGCTCATGAGCTGTCCATTGAAAATTTGGCCAAGGATCTCAGCCATCTCCTTGACGGTGACTTGGTCGGCCACATACGACCTCCGTGCATGCGGGAACAGAAACGACCGAGTGCGAATGGAACCCCCCTACATAGAGAATCCAACCAAAATGCTTGCAAGCATTGTGTTTCTTGGTGTCGATAGTGAGACAGTGGCGCCGGCGGCGGCGGTGGTGGTGGCGGTGAGGTGGCGGTGGCGGCGGTGGCGGCGGTGGTGGTGTATGTGATGGAGGATGTCGCCCACAGGTGCAAATGCCCCACTCGTGCAACCGAACAAGCAGCAACAAGCCGGAGGACGATTGTGTATGCCAGGCGAGGGCCGAATGTGGTGCGGACGGTTCGGGTGACTGTACTTTCCGGGGCTGTTGCGACATTGGCGACTTTTGAATGTGCTGAACCGCAAGCGACAAAAAACAAACATGCAAACCGTCAACCCGCTCGTCGCAGCATCTCATGCCTGACGGCCCTCCAGTGTGCTCCGGAATCACTCGGTCCTGCCTGTGCAGGGCCCAGGATGAATCAGGTTCTCTAGTCAGACAAAGATTCCCGGCCTGGTCGCAGTGTCCGTGGCTTGCCGTCTGCAGCTCCGCCTGCTCGGGAACCGCGCGAACGACAAGAGACAAGAGCTTGCTACTTTGAGCATCTATTCTGTTGTTTTTTCCGGTATCTGCTGGATTGGACTTCCATCTGGGGCGAGATCCACTGATTCTGGGCGATATTCGTATTGTATAGCGTCGCAGCCGCCCCGGGCAAGATTACCAGACGCGAGCCCAAGGGCCCAACGCCAGTCCAAACTTGTCAGGACAAAACATTCTCTCTCCTCAGAAACGTCTTTCTGCCGCTGCTCCTCGGCAGCCATCCGAGCGCTCTCTTCCGCTTCACGTCTTTCCTCTTCTCTTTTCAGATCCTGCGCACTGCACCGTAAACTTTCACAATACCGTATGCCGAACCAAGAACATCAACCAATCTTAGAACTATCGAATTTCAGTCTGACGCTGAACGCGCAGGGTCGCAGCTGACCCGATGCAGTTTAATGCTTTTGTTTAAAGCTCAAACCACAAGAGATCCACAGAGTGCCATAAAAACCTGCCTAGAACAAGGCTGCGACCACCGAGTGCCGGCACCCCTCCTCCATACGTCGCCGCGCTTCTTCTGCCTGGACACGTTCGCGTTGCAGCTGCTCTTCCGCGACCATCCGTGCAACCTCCACTTTGCGCTGTCTCTCCTCATCTTTCTGCGCCTGAAAAACGCCTTTCTGACGCTGCTCTTCCGCGGCCATCCGAGTGCTCTCTTCTGCTTCTCCGCGTTCCTCTTCTCTTTTCAGCTCCTCCTGACTCGACAAACAGAGCCCCGCAAAGAGAACGACTTTCGAGCATACGGGGACATAGATTGATATACAGGGACTGGAACAAGAACATCAACCGAGCATCGAACCTCTAGAACATGGACGTTGAACAAGCAGGCTTTCCCCACATAGGCACCCCTCCGACCCCTCCTCCATCTGTCGCCGTGCTTGTTCTGCCTGCACACGTTCACGTAGCAGTTGCTCTTCCGCGGCCATCCGTGCGATCTCTTCAGCTTCTCTTTGCTGCTGCTCTCGTCGCAGTCGCTCCTGGCAAGTCACCCAAGTCAAGGGCAGAGAAACATAGGAAGCTCACTGGCCTCTTCTCTGCGCTGCTCCTCCGCCATGCGCTGTCTCTCCTCCTCCTCTTTCTGCGCCTGACAAACGTCTTTCTGCCGCTGCTCCTCGGCAGCCATCCGAGTGCTCTCTTCTGCTTCTCGGCGTTCCTCTTCTTTTTTCAGCTCCTCCTCAATCGATCGCGGCAAAGAGAAGGGACAATCTGACAGAAACAGTGTTATACCGGGTGTCGAACCAACACAACCAAGCGAAGCACCGAGCATGTTGGACACCAAACACGCAAGGTCTGCCCCTGTCAACACCCCTCCTCCATCCGTCGTTGTGCTTTTTCTGCCTGCACACGTTCACGTTGCAGCTGCTCTTCCGCGGCCATCTGCGCGATCTCTTCAGCTTCTCTGTGCTGTTGCTCTTGTCGCAGTCGCTCCTGGCAAGTCACTTAAGTGCTGGCGATCCTCCGTGCATTTTGCTAGTGTAGGCTGCAAATACTGCTTTGCATCAAAGTCTTAGGGAATTACATTTTGCTAGGTCCTGTTTTGCTCCAAACTATTGCGGGATTACAATTTCGTGGCTCCTGTCTTGTGTCAAACTGCTTGTGAATCACAGTTGGCAGGGTCTTGCTCTGCGTCAAGCTATTGGGGAATAACAACGTGCAATGTTTTGTTTGTTCTCACTCAAGCTATGGGGGCATCACAATTTCGAGGCTCCTGTCTTGTGTCAGGCTATTTGGGAGTTACACTTTGCATAGGTTATTAGGGAATTACAATTTGTAAAGGCTCCGTGTTTCCTCAAGCTGTTGGGGGACTACAATTTCGAGGATCCTGTCCTGTGTCAAGCTACTTGGGAATGACAATTTGCAGGGTCTTGCTTTGCGTTAAGCTGTTGGGAAGTTACAATGTGCAAGGTCTTGTTGTTCCTCAAGCTATTGGGGGATTACAATTTCCAGGCCCCTGTCTTGTGTCCAGCTACTTGAGGGTCTTGCCTTGCGTCAAGCTATTGTTGTGACATTACAGTGTGCAAGGTGTTGATTTTCCTCGTGGCGTTGGCTGTCTCAGAAAAAAAGCCTATATGTAGCAGAAAATTTTTTGCCCCTTGATTTTCAAAATGCTTTTTCGGACTCCGCGATGTGAGTTCGAGCCCTAAGACTTACAACTTTACTGCAAGCAGAAGCTTAATATTGGTAATTAGAGGCGTAGAACTTACTACTTGACTGCAACCAGCAGCGTAGTGCAGGCTCTGAGTTTACTACTTAACTGTAATTAGAAGCTTAGCAGAGGCTTAGAAACTACCTGCAACGCCTGGGCCAACCGTACCCGTGACCCGTCACGCAGATCGAGGATGCAGAAAAACACAGGAAGCTCACTGGCCTCTTCTCTGCGCTGCTCCTCCGCCATGCGCTGTCTCTCCTCCTCCTCCTCCTCTTTCTGCGCCTGACAAACGTCTTTCTGCCGCTGCTCCTCGGCAGCCATCCGAGTGCTCTCTTCTGCTTCTCGGCGTTCCTCTTCTCTTTGCAGCTCCTCCTGACTTGATTCCAATCACAGAATTATTCTCGCACTCATGGTTCTTTTCAGCCAAGCCAACAACGAGTTAAGTACTGGAAGGAATTTAAACACACATTCATTCTTACAGCATGCTGGGAAGTTTACACACCTCAACAAGCAGTACGTCGGGAGTCTACGCATCTGATTACAAGTCGCTACTTCATATGTGTTGCAGGCATCACACCAGGGG